TTAATAAACTGAATATTAGCCTCTTTACATTTTCTAGCCATTATTAAGAGACTATATTAAAATATATAAAAAAAAAATTAATTTACTTTAGTATGAAATTTCACGAACAAAAAAATATATATGCTAAAAAAGAAAAACTCTACATAATCATCTTCGCTATCTTCGTCTTGATTTTCATTATTTGATCCCAAAAAAAATTGAATTGCTGCAACTTTAATTTTTGTCACTGAATGGAAACACGCTTCAGATATGATATTAACAGTTTTTGAATCATTCCTATGTTAAAAATAAATTGTATATATTTTATATATCGATATAATTAACTCGTAAGAGATTAAACTTACCATATTCCCTTTTTATATAATTCTATACACGCATCTAAACTTTTTTTTGCAGCAACTACGTTTGTGCTGTCTGTTGTACTTTGCAAAATTGTGTACATAAAATTTTGTAAAGTTTTATTTAATTTATTATTCTTGTGCTTGGAATTGGTATTTTTTATATCTGAAATAATATGTGAGTATAGTAAGTCACGAAGTTGTTTATCGTGAACTCGAAATAGTGTGTAGAATAAAGATAACACCCTTTATTTACAAATTAAGTTTTAGCTGATTTTTGAATTGTATAAAGAAATCATTCATTAAAAAAAAAAAACGTTTTCTTTACGTGATACTGGGAATTATTTCTTTATTGCGAAGTAGTATGAGACTTTGTACCATGGTTTTTCGTAGATTAGGATTTAAATTTTGATAATTTTCAGAGAGTAAGTTTATTATTTGTTGAGGAAATGTACTTGTTTCTTGTGGATAGCATTGCGAAACCTGATGTTTTTTATTTTTATTATTATATTGAATACATCCTTTTTTTTTTTAACATTCGTTCTTCATGGAAACAGACCTGTGAAATAAAAGTAACCAAATTTCCGAATTCTTCTGCTTCTTCATCTGGTTTCAGCTGAAGAATGGTTAATTGAGATTCATAATGTCTATATTGTTGTAAAAAATCTTCTTTATATGAAAGTGGATCACGTTTGATAAGATTTTGTAGTTGTGGAATATTATTTGGTAATAAAGTTGACCGTTCGCGTTTGCCCATTTATTTCTGAAAAGTTTGATAATAAATACAATTTATTTATTCAGTCAACAAACGAGTGATACGAATCGAAAAAATCGATTAATCGAAAAGTTGGTAAAGTTGGCAGATAATTTAAATTTTTGATACAACTAATCGTTGAATGAACATCTCGATTTCTTAAAAAAATTTTTTTTTAGATTTTACAAGTCATGCGATTAAATATAGCTAACCAATCAAGCTAATTAAAACATGTGACTATGATTCGCGAGTAATACAAACCTTAAAGCCGAGTTATCTAGATAATTTATACGCATAGTTTGTCGAATTCTCGTGTAGTTTACTGTATGTAAAAATAAATTCTGTTACAAACGAGAACTTATAGACTATTGTGGGGACACACAGTATGTGGTTTAAATAATTTGCAGTATTCGGATTCTCGTTAAAGTATCGGTCAAGTGTAAGCAGCACATGTGAAATTATATCTTACAAAATATAACTACATAGTATTCTTTATTATAATCAAAAATTTGTTATTTTATATTTTTATACTATCTATATTTTTTTCCTTTACGCCAAAAACCTTTGAAGTACGTACGTACGTACATACGTATCTTATTTTGAAAATATCGACGAAATCAAACTCGAAATTTGATTGGTTGGCATTCACCTTATTATCTTAGTAAACTCAATACTAAAATTCTTTTGCTATACCGATACATTTAAAATTTAATTATTCTCATCTATATATTTTATTAAATTGTCATAACCCATTTAAAAAACTAAACTGAATTCGCTTTCAAGATATGTTCGAACCCAATCATTGCTTAGAAGTTTTTTTTTTATATATTTTAATATAGTCTCTTAATAATGGCTAGAAAATGTAAAGAGGCTAATATTCAGTTTATTAA